CTGAGAAATACCGGAGGTGTGCGGGCACTCCAGCCATAAAAGCCTGACATCCTGAAAAAGCCAGTGGGACCTGTGGTCCCAAGTCACCTTTCCAATCCCGCCCAAAGCTAACGCAGCTGCGGGGGGTCTCGCACTCACCTTTGATGTGCTCCTCCGCTGGGGTGACGCCCAGTTTCTTGAAGTAGTCATCCGTTTCGGGATCCACCACGAGGAGCTTGGCTTCGTTCTCCTTGGACTTGATGTGCGACACCACCTCCGAGTGCTTCATGCCTTCCACGTTTATCCCGTTCACCTGCAAAGGAACAGCCGGGGGGTGAGGGCTTCTAGGCAAGACGCCGATCCACGCGAGCAGCCCCGTTCTCGCGGCACCAGGTCTGCGGAAGCGGGAGGGCGTCCCGGGGAGTTTGCACGCCCCGCGGTGCACAAAGCAAGCGCCCGTCTGTGAAATGCGTTGTGCTTCCCAGAGCTTTAAACCCAATAGTTTCTTTGGGGCTGAGGCTGCTTCCCAGACCACCGGCCCGCAGACCCCCAGGCGCAGGCTCCTCTCCCTTTCCCCAAGCAAGATGAGACCTTCCTTCCCATGTGCAAAGTTTCCCCCTTCCTCTTCCTCAGCTCCCCTGGGCTGCCCACTTGCATCCTGAATGTGCTCGTTCCCCTGCTCAAGGAAGCAGGGACCTCGGACGCTGACCTGGAGTCTCCCACCAGCTAAGCTGCGCCCCAGGGGCCCTTCACATGCAGCTCCCAACAGGACCAGGAAGGTCTGAGATGGATAAAGTCCATCAGGCCACATATCTTCTACACTCCCAGGGGCCACTGCAGCCCCTCAAAGCCTATTTTTACATCATTAAACAGCCTAAGCAATAAACCCCCCATTGCTTCCCTTCAGGAAGACCTCCGCAGCCTCCGTGCTCCCGCTCTTGACCATCCCTTCCCAGCACAAGCCGCTGCCTGGTCCTTGCCATCCGCAGGAGCTCTGGGAAGGCGGCACAGCTCCGGGTGGAAGGTGCCCGTAGCCTGCCCATGCTTAAAACCGTGATGCCAGCTTCGTGTCAGGGGAAAGGAGTGATGATTTCCTCCCCGGCGAAACAGGGTGGCACCTCCGTGTCATAATACGCGGTGCCGTGATGAATTGCTTTCCTTTGTGGGCTGCTAATTGCTGCCTATGAATGCACGCGATACCATTCTCTCCATTATTCCATGCAAAACAGAAGGAACGATTATCATTTCGAGGCATTGTTCTTGGCGCTGAGTGAATCCTCCATTGTCCTTGCTGAAAAGGTCTTGATACTGCAGTCACTCACTGCTTACTGGCACCGGGGCCTTCACTTGTTCAACTCAATAACCTATTTTTAGCACTTTTTTCCCCCATTGTGCTCTTCTCATTCACGTCTAAAAACCCAAACCACTGATTCCTCGTCAGCTCTGCCCTTTGCTCCACAGATTTCACTGCAGATGTGTTGATTCAGTCAAAGCAGGAGTACAATAGAGGCAGTCGATTATCCCATCATACGTGCGTTCTGGATACCGTTGGCAATGACATTGATCCACGCCTCTAAAATAATTTAGCGCCTGTGTTACAGCGAGTTCTGGAAGAACTCAGAGATTAGTGACTCCGGAAAGGCTATTCGTGCCCGTAACTGGATTTCTTTTTAAAGATCTGGATATTTTTCTAGCCAATGATATCGCAGCTGCGTATGTGTGATCGGGATCATTTAAATGTCAGGCTTCGGGGCATCAGCTGATGGATTGCTTCAGTGGGGCAGGGAGGAATTTTCTAGCTTTACACCGATTCAGATGCTCTGGTCTTTGCACAGGCAGGCAAGGCTCTTTGGGTATATCCGATATCTGTTATTAGACCAACTAAAAGAGTTGGAAAAATTCTCCTTTGCAAGCTTTCTCTGCCTGAAGAAGGGTGCTTGTACCCAAAAGCTTGCAAAGGAGGATTTTTCCAGCTATTTGAGTTGATCTAGTAAAAGGTATCGGATTTACCCAAAGAAGCTTGTCTGCCCGTGTCCTTAGACCAACAAAGCCACAACCAACACCCCTGGTCTTTGCATGGCTTTTCATATACGGATTGAAACGCCTTCTACAGACAGTAACATGCTGCGTCTTCTGCCTCCTCGGCGAGGCAGCAGGTACCATCTTCCACCTACAGAGCGGGAAACTGAGGCACAGAGGTGAGAAGTGACCTGGCACGCATTGCACGCAGCATCAGCAGCGGAGCTGGGACTATGGTCAATGAGACCCGACTTGCAGCCATCTCCAGATGCCCTCCAGGGAGGCTGCATGGCTCCGAGTGGGGCTTGCCTTTCCTCTAAAGCTTCAAAGCCTAGCTCCTTGCAAGAAGCAGGACTCCAGACTAGACAGGTCAGGATGGGCCTGGGAACCCCGTCCTTCCCCCGCGGCGGGGATGAGGAGCCTCCACCCACATGTCTTGCAGCATCGCATGAGGGTCCTGCAAATGGGGCCGACCCCACCCGGGGCTGGGGACAGAGATGCACCAAGGGCTGGGCAGCTCCACGCAGCTGGACGTGGGGCCAGCGCTGAAGCTCAGCTTCCCCCTTGGCTTGCGGGGACGTGGCCCGTCTCTCCTAACCTGCGGCCGGTCCTGCGGGAACCCAAGCGCAACCTGTAGCTGGAGGAAAAAGCAAACCCCTTGGGCTTTCTGCCTCCGCTCCATCTCCTAGCAACCCCGACTGCCCTCTTTCCCGAGCCAGCCTCGGGCACCGCGGTGCTCGGAGACAGCGCCTGGCTTGCTAGCCGTGGCTGCTTTCTCCGCTCGCCCCGCGTTCGACAACCCCAGCGGGCAGCAGACGGGGAGGCGCGGGACGCGGGGGGTTTGAAACCGGGGACCCTGCGAGACGAAGCCCGGAGCAGCTCCCTCCCGCCGGCCCTCGGACTCCGCGCTGGCTCCGGAGCTGTTTTGCATCAAATATTTATTTAAGCCCCGAAGAGCCAGCGCGGCATCGGGTTTCTGCGTTCTCCAGGTCGCCTCTTGCCTCTTTGTGCGCGCCAGGGGCCGTGCCAGGGATGGATAAATAAATGATCGAATGCTGCCGAGTGACATAACGCGAGGCCCCCGAGTGCTGCCCCTGCCGGCCCCCCCGCGCATCAAACATCCAGCTGCCAAGAGCCAGCACGTTCGGGCCTGGCGCGGGGCAGGTGGCAGGCGGGGGTCACTGCCGGCACACGTGCTGCCCTTCCAGCGGCACGTCGAGTCCCGGCTGCAGCGTCCATCCTCCCCGCCACAACCATGTGCCTTCCAGCCCATGCCCCTGGCTTACTCCGTGCAGAGGCAGGCCCCAGCTTGGCCAAGCATGCAGGGAAGTCAGGATTTATTTGCAAGAGTAGAGCCGGGCAACTGCTCTGCTGCGTTGGGATCTCCATGTGCACCTCTCCCTCCCTCCCTCCTCCATCCCCAGGGCTTTGAAATGGTGCTTCCTCTCCTGGTAGGTAGCACAACAACGCTGCTGGTCCCGAGAGCGCTGGCAAGCCTCCGCTCTCCCCCCCCGGCCTGCGAGGCGGTGGCGTGCAATACAATACCAGCAAGGAGGATTTCAACAAACCCCGCATGAGCTGTTCCAGCCCAGCACCACATCCCGAGGTGCCACGGCAATGCACGCTGCTGCTGGCGTGTCTGCTGCGGGGCAACGGACAGGGCTCTTTATCCGCATGGCACCGAAGTGCCGTCAAGCCTGCGTGCGGCTTTGGAGGCTGCAATTATTACGCAGCCAAATTGCACGGGTTGCATTGAAGGCCTGCCGGCAGGGGAAGGTGGGCCTCCGCGAGCTTCAAGGGTTTCTGTTGTTCCCACCGGAGCGTGCTTGTCGCGCCGCGAGGGGTGAGTTTTTACCGACCTCCCACACAATCCACAGTTTCAGGTTTTGTGAGCTATTTGCAAGGCTGGTTGCTACGGTTCCCAATTCCTCTCCCGTTCCCATTAAGCAGCTAGCTGCCAAATGGCAGCCCCAGAAGTGGCTGCATGTTAGTAGTGGCTAGTAGGCTAAACGCAGGACACAACTCCTGTCCCCTGTTCCTGGCTGCTTTAAGCTTCACGTCACTCCTGCCATTAAAACCCGCTGTAGGAATGGTCCCAAGCAGAGAGGACGGTGCTGGCCTGCTGCCCATCTCCTACCAAGTGCTTTGGGTTTTCGGGGGATGGAGGGGACCGTGCGTGGTGTAATGCGAAGTGCATACCAGGGCCGTCCAACTGCTGAAACTTGCAGCTCCTTCCCAAGCTTGACAAAAAAGGGGCCGCTCAAGTGCAGGGACCCCACAGGAAAGCTAGTGCCTCTGGGGCTGAGGGAAGGAAAACACCAGCGCCGAGGGAACAAAAGCCCCATAGCATCCCTTACCAGTCGGCTCTTGCAGGGCAATTAGACTGCAAGGGCCAGAGGAAGGCTGTAGCTAATGAGGTCCCTTCGAATCGGCAGCAGTGATTAAGACTGGCTGATTAATCAGACGTGGCGTTGATCCACGGAGCAAGGCAGGGTCCCTCCGGGGGGCTGCAAAGCCCCTCACTGGGTGGCCCTGCCACAGGCTGCCGGGCCCTTTAAAGACCCAATTCGCTGACCAGAGAGACCCCTCGAGAGCAGAGCTTGCTGGAGTTTGATGACGAGGGGCAGAGGAAAGGCCTTGCAGGAAGGCGATGGAGCAGGACTTGGAGTTCAGCCTCCAGCCCTGCTCTCAACCCGCTGCGTGCCCCCGGGCCGTGGCACCCACTTGCCCACGTATCGAACGGGGACGCCACCGACGCTCCTCGGAGGACGACTGTGCTCGGGACGTGCAGCGCGCAGGGGAGCGGTTAGACGTGGAAGCTGGCGAGACCCCTTCCCATCCGCGGTCTGGTTCCCGATGAGCTGCCGTTTCGGTCACGGGCGCACGAGAGCAATGCTATCAGCCCAGAAGCCAGGGCTGGCGGGCAGGGAGAGGTCAGCGCCGCGGGGGCACATGCGACACGTGCCTTGGTGCAAGAACAAGGAAGCCCCGAGAGATGCCAGCGCTTCCCACGGACCCCGGCCCACCAAGAAGCTGCCCGGCTCTTACCTCTATAAGCTTGTCCTGAGGCTGGAGTCCTGCTTTAGATGCCGGCGAATCTGGGTCCACGGAGCGGATGAACTGCCCGGGTCGGGACTTTTCGCTGTGCAGGTTGAAGCCATAGCCGTTGGGGCCTTTCTTCAGGTGGCAGAGGCGAGGGCGCGACTCCTTCGTTTGTCCGTTTACGTCCTGCCAAGAAGAACACACACGCGTACCATGACAGGCGTGCAAGGGCTAGGGGTTATTTGGTTGTTGTGTTTTTTAAAGCAGATGCAACAATAGAGACAAACACAGTAAGGAAACCACCTATCTGCGGAGCTGTCCTCCCTTCCCAGCCAGACGGGGCACATGGATTTCCTCTCATTGAGTCTATTTTAAAAAGCCAATTGTCCAAATCCATTCTGACAGCAGGACAAACCCATGCGTTTCCGCCACGACAACGGGCCAAATGAAACACGCCCTTTTGCTCGCAACCCCCTGACCAGGACCAAGCCGGGCGGGAGGGAGGGAACAAGAGGCCACGTGCAGAGCGTGGGGTCCGAGGGACAAGGCGGTTGCCACGATGAGTGACTTGAGGCGGTGTCCTGCCCTTGGTCCCCTGATGCCAGTGGGCAGCACGCGGCGCCCAGGACTTCCCTCTGCATAACTCCCATCGTGGGGAAGGACCCAAAGAAGCAGCTGGTCCACACGCTGGGGCCAGACGACAACGACAAGCTACGCAGTGGCTCGGGGACCTTGTCCAGGCAAAGCTCAAAAGCCTGGGGATACCGAATTGGGCATCAACTGCTCTGAAAAGGGCCGGATAAGGAATATGGACCTCGGTGGGGCTCCAGGCCTAACATGGGGAGGTCTTTGGAAGCAACCAGGGGCACTTGGCGGCTTCATTTCGGACGCTGGTGCAGGCCCCGGGGAGCTTGACTGAGAGCCGCTGCAAGGGCAGGGGCTGCGACTCGAGTGCACCCCCTTGCACGTGCTCCCTTTGCAGCTGGTGCTGGGGAAGCCTTTCTGCTGCGGGGAAACAAGTAGCCAAGCCTTGGGATGGGGAAGCTGCCCAACAGCTCATGCAAAGGGGCACGGCGGGCCAGGGAGGGATAGAGCCCCAGCTCCTGGAGGCCTGACTCTATTCCTGGCTCTGCAGCCGACCGCCCATCACTTAGCTATGCCGTGCCTCAGTTTCTCCAACTTCAAAAGGCACCTAACCCTCCCCTTGCTCAGAGAGGGTCTGGGGAGCGCCGCACCGCGGTACGTCTGCAAATACGTCAAGGTTTTGGGCTCAGGCAGAGGCACGGACAGCAACCCCAGGTTGCAGGCAGGGACAATTGATGGTTTTATGTCCTGTAGCACGAACACGGTCAGGCCCTCCGTTTGGCCTCTTGCAAATAAAACAAACTATGGTCGGATAAAAAATAAGTTGGGGGACCATGGTCTGGGGGGACTGAATGACCATACAGAGGCTTTTCTGTAACAGCATCACCCCTGCCCCCGGCCAGCCTGCAGGAGACACCGCGGCTTTGACCACATCTCCCACAAGACGGGAAAGAGAAAGCCCTGATTCAGGACGGGCAGTCACCGAGCCGCAGAGAGGAACTCACAGGCTGGAAGGCCCCTCAGGACGCCACCCGGGCCGTTCCCCAGGGCTGAGACAGGATGCACAGAGCTGGGCCATTCCCAGAAGAGACCTGGCAAATATACACTTTACCTCCCAAAAAGGAGACTCTCCAACCTGCCCGGGAAGCCTCTTCTGGCACTTCAATACCCTGACAATTAGAAACTGCGGCAATTAAACCTATTCCTTCTCATCCCTCCCCGAAAGGACGTGGTGATCGCTGCCCCTGTTAAAACACCTCTTCCACGCTGAAAAACTTGTTGTGCCCCCGTCACCCTTCTCCCTTCTGGACCCTCTCCTCCCAGATCACGTTTTCACACTTCTCACGGTCCTTGTTCTTCTGGACTCTCTCCAGTTTGTCTACATCCCTCCTAAAGCACGGGACACAATACTCAATACTACTGTACGTCACGGATAGTAGCACAGTTACCTCCCGTTTCTTTTGCACAACGTTGCGGTTAAAACAGCTTCCACTTTCTCTGCATCACCTGCGATTCGCCTTCCTTCCCTGTTGAGTAACGGGCCTACAGTTCCCTTTGCCTGCCCCTCACTTCTAATGCATGTACAGAGCATCTCCAATTTGCCTACATCTTATTTAAGTGCAGTGCCCAAAACTGGTTGTGGTCATTTCTGCTGAAGCGTCAGCAGCACCAATAAAGCAGTGTGATTGCTTCTCTTGTCTTGTATCTCACACCTAGTCATATGTTTGAGAACAAGATTGGTCTTTTCACGCGGCATCGCATTGTGGGCTTGCGGTCTGTTCACCTTCCAGCCGCAGTCACCGGTGCTCTCCCACAGAACAGCTGGCTCGCCAGCAACCCCCAGTTTGCATGTGTGTGTGCCTTTTCCTTTTCCTAAATATAGGAAGCCTCGGCTGAGTTTCCTCCCGTGGACTGCAGGCCGTTTCTCTGATTTATCGAAACCGTTCCGACTTTGGAGCCTGTTCTCCACAATGTTTGCAAGACCCCTGCCAGCTTGCTGGTATTGCATGGCTCATATCTGTAGTCTCCAGTCCATCATTTAATAAAAGCCGTAGGTGGAGTTGGGTCTGGGACAACCGCCTGCAGCACCCACTGACATGCTCTTCCAGTTCGACAACCGTTAACAAGCACATGCAAGGAGGCTGGTGGGAGAGGGTCAGGAGCCTCGCTACAGCCAGGCTAGATCACGTCTCCTGCTTTCCCCTCGTCCTCGAGGCCAATTATCACGTCAGACAAGGACACGGACTGGCCCCTCACTATCTGCGCTTGACACATCCCCGCTGGCTGACCGGCGGGTGATGGAGCCCACCCGCGTGCCTGCATCGTGACAGCCATGACGGGTAAAGCCAGCACCTGACTCCAGGCACCGAATCGTTTCACCCGGGGGCCCTGTATCACTGTATCCCCACGGCGCGTTGCACCTATTTCCGTCCTGGCTAGCTGCGCCACGGGCGAGGGATGCAGCTTGCGTAGTAAACCTCCTGCAGCCGGCATCGGAGAGGAGCAATGCTGGGGGTGCAACAACAGCCCCATCCCCTGCTTTGGGGGGGCTGACGGCTTCCCCCACCTCCTTATTTGCTGCCGTTTCTGTGTCTTAAGCCAGCCCTCCCACCCCACACACAGCCTTCTGCTGCAGCCTCACGAGCTGGAAGAGGATCGGGAATGTGGCCTCCAACCAGCTAACCCCTGCGAGTCCGGATACCCCCGAGCCCCGCTCTCCCACTGCTGCTAGTCTACGGGCGCTGGGTTTTACCGCTTCTTTTGCTGTAATTACAGCCGAGCCCACCTTGCCAACCTCGCTCCAACAAATGTCGATTTACTCTCTCGGGTCCCGCAGTTATTATAGGTCCGCGGAAAATAAACTGGGGCTTCATGGGGCTGCCTTTGGTACAGGCAGCGGACTAATATCGTACGATGTACTCTCGATGCACACGACTGGGGACAGGAACAGCTTTCCGCAGCCTGCGCAGGCCCCAAAGGCTTCAAAGCCACCAAGCAGAGCAGCAAATGGTGGGTTTTCTCTTCCCCCTTCCCACCGCTCCCTTCGTTAGGATTAATTGCATTACACCTCTGTCACTGAGGGAGCAGGCAGCTCTCTCTCATTTCAAAGCTGTTCCAAAAATGGTAATTTGGTTTCCCCTGGGAAGTGACGATGTTTTACAAGCTCCCTGTGAGTGCATTTTGATTTTTAATTGTCGCAGAAAGCTGAAACATTCGCCTTTTTCCCCCAGGTTCCTTTTAGTACAAGAAAAAATTTAGATTCGGGTCATTTTTTTTCTCTGCTGGGAATG